GAATATTGGTAACATCTTCCAAAAAATGGATAACTCAGGGAGTCCTCCTCATTTGTTGCATTGTTTTCTCATAGTTCATCTTATCTACAAGACAAGAACAAATAAATCACAAAAGAAATCACCAAAAGAATATTCAAGAAAGCGAGGATTCTCCGTCTCGCTCACCAAAGATAACCTTTTTGTGCTCTTTCGATCCGACATGCACCAGTAGACGCGTCTCTATGAATCATTTAAGTTTTTTCTTTGACGTCATATCAAAAGTGATAGTACCCCCAAAATAACCTAAATCCTTTAAGGAGGATATCAGCTGCCTCTTCAAACAAACGTCTTCTTGAGATAAATAATTCATCTTGTAAACATAAGACTTGAAATCTGACAAGAAGTGGCTTTGATGCCAGAACTTGGAGAATATGTCTAAGCATTGATAAGGCGGGTCAGGTTCTATGAAGTATATTTGAGTGTGATCCTCTTTGTTGAGGTGAGTGATCAAGAATAACCGATTTTTTGAAATTTTTCATCTTATTGAGTAAACATTGAACATCGTAGTTCATTGCCGAAGAGATATCAAGTCCTGAACCTATGCTGAAGCAACCGAGATACTTAGAGATTTGAAATTATGGAAGAATAGTGTCAAGTTCGTTCTTATATTCTCATCATTATTGGAAGACTGTGACTTAAGCCCAACTCACCGGGTATAATTATGAAGGGGCAATCAACAAATGGTTAAGAATGTCGATCTAAAAATCATTAAAAGGGAGACGAAAATCTATCAAAGAAAAAACACTAGTGAAGAGGAATGACATACCAATCATACTTGTTGCACACCCTTTTGTCTTAATCTCAAAAAAACCATTCACCAGTCGGATGAAGGTTCCACCTCGGTAAAAGCATGATCCAAACCTCCTTCATAATCAAAAGCGAAGGCGATATTCAACGTCTTCTAATCCATCTACACTGACGAGTTATCCTATTTTCCCTTACAAATTATGGTAAGGGGAATCTCCATTATGAGAAATATTGTCAATACAGAAAAGGTAAATATAAAGAAACAATAAATTACACATTCAAAGGTAAGGTTCAGCGCTCTATTAAAACATGTCAATAACAGAAATTTGTTAGAAAGGAAGTAAGAATATCATAAACCCTAAGGCCTTTCTACAATATACGTGTATCAACATCTAATGAATCTCCAACGACGAAAGGCTTTCGTTGAGACCTTAGAAACCTACTATCCTGAAACCTTAATAAAGAAAGTAGAAATTGAAAGAAAGGAAAATATTGAGTTTACCTTAAATAAGCAAAGTTGGTGTCTAAGTACTGCCAAAAAAAATATTGCAAGATGAATCTAATTAGAAGAGCAACACATTAAGTTCTCAAGAAAGGGGAAAGTTGATGATACAAAAGATGAAGAACTATTGGACTTCAAAATGAAGAAAAAAGGAAAAACAATACTACAAGAATCTTTTATATGTGCCTCGACCATGAAGGACCGTGCGATCTATAACACCCCATTCTATACCCCCAAATAAACAAATAAATCACATAAGCACATAATAAATTTCATCAGAGTAAATTAAAATATGGTATAAAAGAAGTATGCCACATCATTCACCAAAATAACATACAACACCTGCTCTATAAAAGACATGCAGCAATGGAGTAGTTCAGCAGAGGAACTTAGTCCTACACCCACATCTCAATATTTAGAAATTAAAGCGGAAGATTGAAACATTGAATTACTTAAAACATGTTATCATATAAATACATGATTCAGTTTGGTTCACAATATCATTCATGTTTACAAAACATTTACCATCAGATACATACACAAAATGTATCTCAAAAGAATACTATACAGTCCTAACTATCCGGTGCTACATATCAGAGCATAACCGACCAAAAGGATGAAGTTAAAGTTCACAAAAGACCTCCAGCAACCTAATCTGCAATGCCTCATAGAGCATTATAAAATAGCAGAAGGGTGAGAAATATTATCATAATAATCAAGGCATATAATTATATATACATACACAAGTATAGAACACATACATTTCACATTTCTCACCATAATTCGTTCCAATCATCATATACATCACAACATATGTGTAAACAAACATGGATAATCACAAGCATATTTCATCACGCATACATCCATAATTCTCAATTCAATACTTCACATAAATGTATACTTTAATTCAACATTACACATTAATCATGTGACTCAATGCAACTCATGCCATGTGGTACCAACACTTGTTATTATTTTTCGGTTTTTACACTTAAACCAGGTTCACCCTTCTAGACCGATAACAACAAAAGCCCGTTCCCTAAGCTTTCAAACCCACCCTTCTAGGTTTGGGACAAGTCACTAGTCTCCACGAAACTAGCAAACATTGCCTCTTGACTAAATGATGCATATGCAATCAACCACCAAATGCACTTAAGACCATCTCGCATCTTAATCCCATGCATTCAAATAATTCATCACACAAGAATTATAATATGATTGCACACACAACATATTCATGCTTCATCAATACATTTATCAAGCAATGCACACATACTCACAATATATTCTCATGCATTCTATTCATACAATCTCATACAAACAATATGTATTCATAATCAATTCCACAATCTAGGATTCACGCCATACGGCTACCCACAACATATATTTCACAGTATACAATTACTCATTTTCAACAAGGATCAAACACAATCGAGCAAAGAAATCAACATGGAATGGAATCACAAGAAAACCAAATGTTGTCACGCTCGCCGACTTGCTGGCCTAGCGAGTCTCTAGCGAATATTCGTTATCTGTTCGCCTAGCGAACAAGCTCGCGAAGGCAACCAGAAGCTACTGACTTCGCTCGCCACCTACATCGCTGCAGCGAGGCCCTAGCGAATCCTTTGTCATCTCACTCGCTACCAGTGAACCAAATCAAATGCATTATGTCAAAGTCTGGGACCTCTCGCTAACTTATTCGCCCAACGAGTTGCTAGCGAATGTTCGCGACCTGTTCGCCTAGCGAAGGTGCTAGCGAACTCAGAAATCCTCACTGTCCAAAACTCCGAAACTCACCAAATCCACCGATTCAGTCCCGACTCGTTCCCGCGGTCTTAGCTTAGCATTCCTCGACTAAACTCTCCCACTTATTCTCATTTTCGACCATTAAAACTCGGTTTCTATCGATTAAATCCACTTTGCCCTAAAATGGAAGTTGTAGAAAAACATCCAATAATCTAACCCAAGCATACATAATCATATACATTGACAAGATAATGATATTTCACACCCTTACCTCGATTAAATCGATGCTTGAGAGTTGTTCTTGAGCTTTTCCAACTTTTCCTTCTTCTCCTTCTCTTTTCTCCTCTTTCTCCTTCTTTCTCTATTCTTTCTCTTATGTTTCTATATTTCTCCTTTCTCTCCACTTTTCCTTTATATGTCTTTCCCTTCTAATTCTCTCCAACATCTATTAATTCATTTAGTTAATCATACATTAATCAAACAATCTTCTTAAATTATTTAATTAATATAAATAATTAATTAGTGAAAATTGGACTGTTACATGATCCACTATATTAGGAAACTCAAAGCACACCATCAATGATAAGGATTTCCTCGCGAATTGTTCAAGGTACTCAACTATCTTAAGACAATATGAGATATCATTATTGACTAGTACATAGACACGCGTTGGAAGCTCTCTGCAAAACGCTACCCCTTATAAGAAATGCATTTAATGGGCTTGTTCTCAACAAGAGTGGCGTCTCATAAAGACTATTCACTTGCGCCTATTAGCAACTGACCTAGGGGCGTACATAAACTCAAAGTAGGTTGTTCGCGAGGCCCATAGAAAAACACCCAAGAGTGCCATCAAGAGAAAAAGCACATGGAATAGGTGGTCCATCATTCCCCCATGACCAGATAATTTTCCTTCCAGACACATCATTCACCATTTTCCTTCCAGACACATCATTCACCATCTAATTAGATTCAACAGTCACCCACGGTACACACCTCGTCTCACTACTCATATTATATAAAGAAGAAAACGAGTCATTTAAATTTATATTCACTCTCATACTACACTTTATTCTCTCAGTGATTTGAATGTTAAAAATGATAATCTTACAAAATCAAGCCCTATCTACTACACCCAAAATGTATTCCATCAATTCAAAATCTCATCTTAGATAAGCCAAACATTATTCAATTTTATTTCTTCATGCTTTTAGTAAAAAAAATCAGCACATGACATTTAATTAAAGGTCATGTTAAGCAAAATTGTTACTAATACTAGTAAAGACAGGAGTTTGAGGACAATTGTTCTAGGTCGTTCGCGAGGCCCATAAACTCAAGAGTGTTATCAAGAGAAAAAGCACATGGAATAGGTGGTCCATCATTCCAAGACCAGATAATTTTCCTTTTAGGGACGTCATTCATCGTCTGATTAGATCCAACAGTCACCCACGGTACACACCTTGTCTCATTGGACGATTTTAACTACTCATATTATATAAAAAAGAACACGTATCATTTAAATTTATATTCACTCTCATACTACACTTCATTCTCTATCTGATTAGAATGTTTATAATCTTACAAAATCAAGTCCTATCTCCTACACCCAAAATTTATTCCATCAATTCAAAATCTCATCTTAGATAGCTGAACATTATTCAATTTTATTTGTTCATGCTTTTAGTAAAAAAAAAAATCAGCACATGACATTTAATTAAAGCTCATGTTAAGAAAAATTGTTACTAATACTAGTAATTTATGAGCTAAAGTTGTAACATAATCAAAGAAAAGGTTAGGTTGTAAGAGAGGTCACGTGGGATGATGAATAGACACGTGGTCCCGTAAATGCACTCGTGCGTGTCACATTGTCGCTCAAAAAGCAGACACCTACTACCCTTAAACAAATATTGGATACTCTACCAATGCCATTCATCATTTCACAATCTTCACGCGTGAACTCACTTATAATCTAAAGCTTCATATGGGCTTTCATAATCTCCCGCTTCCTTTTATTTGAGCTTTTTCTCTCTGTCTTCTTTTCAGCAACTAGAACACAGAACTCGGAACCAAGCATGTCATGTATTTCAAGATTTAATGACTGGCTTAAATCAATAACTCCCTTTATGATTTCCAAGGTTATGCTAAATCCTAACTTGGACAATACTCGGATGGCATTGGCAGCCCTACATATGTATTTTCTCTTCGTATCGCTTTTCCCTTCTTCTTTATGGGCTGGTTCAGTTAGGTTAACTTGATATTTTGTTTCATCTTCGGCTTCAACATGCTCTCCAACCCATATCAGACCGTTGCAGCCAATTATTAGATCAATCCCATGTTGCTCCAGATGATGGAGATGTTGTTTCTGTCTCTTTACTAAATAAGGCGTGACTGCAACCATCTGGCCAGTACTAAGCTGCAATACACCATAAATCTGTTAACACTGATAAAAGACAAGAATATAATTGAAATAAATTTTAAGACACAAAAATGTATTACAAAGTAGCAAACAATTCATAAAAGCAGTAAACAAGATTGCATTTGCATCTCGATCATAAAAGATAGTTTGTTTAGTTTTATGTATAATCAACGCATGTAACTTGGTTAGCATTCGTAGAACTTAGTAAAGTTGGTTTTACAGTATGGAAACAGGAAGTCACTACTGTTGTGTAACCGTATTATTATGACTTTTTTGGGGTGAAAACAATAAATCAATAAAAGAACTATGTTTTAAGGTTTTCAAGAATACAAACCTTTCCATATTTTTTACTTCTTGCATGAAGGTGTATGTTATCATGCGATAAACCACGAACTTCAGCCTGTTGGGACATGTACATTATTTAGAACACTAATTATTCCTTCCATAAAACATAAGTAAATTTTGACAAACAAGATATAACATTACTTACACAAATGAGATCAGACTCCTCAAAAATACCGCGCATGTTTAGTTCATCTAGAGCTGTCCTTCGCCTCTGAGAGTGGAAAGAACAATTCAGTGTGAGGGGGTTTCAAAGCTTAATTAAGAGAGAAATTCAACAATACAATATAACACATAAGAAAAGAAAATGGCAAGACACCTAATTGAACTCGAAACAGAAGGTGATTATGCATGATGCTGATTTCTGTGTTTATCAAAATTTCAAAGAACTTAATAGCTAGATAAGTGATGATCATAAATGTTTTTCAGTTAGCTATGGTATAATATCTGCTATGCTATCAACAAGACACTATAGTAGAATAGCATAGTGGTGGTAGGGTTTGGCGCAACGGCATTGGTCATTGAATTAAAAAACAAGACATTTTATACATAAAAGGAGTTGCAAAATACCTGTACACCATCGGGCATATTCATAGCAGAAAGCATCAAATAAGCATTTTGACTGCAATTAATGTCTAATCTCCAAAACTTTTGAGCAACCTAGACAAGAACAAACAGCAAAACGTTGGCAATAAAAAGGTGTGAAAGCAAATAAACAAACCAAAGATATGGTATAAAACTGTACCTCAATAACTCGCCCTACAACAATGTCACCAACTTCAGGTTTGTACCTAAGATTTCACAAGATTTCATTAACAAACAAAAACATAGCATTTGAAGAAAGTAGAGAAGTTAAGTAGATTACCTTGAGCTCAAACCACGCACATAAACGAGCTTGTTAACATGCTCCACAGTGCCACAGAGAGTGGCAACAACTTGACCGTCTAGGTCAGAAGTTCCGTGACCCTTAAGTACACCATCTTCATGGTTGACAGGTATAGAATCAGCTACGGTAACCAAAGAATCGGAATTCATCCTGGAAGATAAAGATTCCATCGCCTTTTGTAGACGGACCTTCTGAGTTTTACTGAATTGTAATTGAATCTCTCTCATGACTTCTAACTTGATCGGTGGCGGAGAGAGTGACGGCGAGCCTGTCCTAAGGTACCGAACAATGAGAGACACAGAGAGAAACGAGAAAGAAGAAACAGAAAATGGTTACCACTGAGCGAGCGAGGCGATTTGTAGAGATGAGTAGATGATGGTGGCGTCGAGGTTACGTTGTAAGTAATTGAGAAAACCCTGGTTTAGTTTCCGTTGAGCGAGAGAAGAAGAGAACAAGGTTTATGGCTTTTATAGGTATTGGATTTAGGTTTTAAGGATTATAAAAGTTTTTTAGGATAAGAACAAAATCTTGTGATTTTAAATTTATTATAAAATTTAAATAAATCTTATGATATTTATTATGGGCCTTTCAATTTTGTTGAGTAACAAACTCGCTAATGACATGGTAGATAAGTGATGTATGACTTAAATTTCTCTTGTTTTTAATCACTATTGTATTTCCAACTTATTTAATAAATCTCCATTAAAAAAACTTATTTAATAAAAATCTATAATAATAATGAAATCAATGTTATATTTTTATTTTTATGTTAAACTAGATTATGAACACCATCGATTGAAAAGTTGAATTAAATTAATCTAAATGAATTAAAAAGAAGAAAAAAAGATTAAATTAATCTAAATGAATTAAAAAGAAAAAAAAATTAAATTAGTCTAAATGAATTAAAAAGAAAAAAAAACATGCATTTTCTTTCTAACTTATTTCATCTTCTTCAAGAACAAAAATAACAACCACTTACTAGAAAATCCGTAAAAAAAAATACATACTAGAAAATTAAAACTCATAAACACAAACAACCCAAAGTACAAAATACATATTAGATTATGAACACCATCGATTGAAAAGTTGAATTAAATTAATCTAAGTGAATTAAAAAGAAGAAAAAAATTAAATTAGACTAAATAAATTAAAAAGAAAAAAAGACATGCATTTTCTCTCTAACTTATTTCATCTTCTTCAAGAACAAAAATAACAACCACATACTAGAAAATTCCGGCAAAAAAAAATCACATACTAAAAAATAAAAACTCATATGAGTATCTTTAATGTAGATTTTTAATAGTTAAATTTTTTTATAGTTAAGAATGATTATAAAGAATTTGCATTGGAATGACTATGACATGACATTTAATTCACTAATTTTTAGTTTCCGACAATTATATAGCTAACATATGCTATTTATTTTGAAACATATAATATTATTATTTAAAATAAAAACAACTCAAATCAACTATAAATTATATAAAATATAGGGTCAAGTTTTAGTTTTTTATAAGCAACTACATTAAAGTAAAAACAACTCAAATCAACTATAAATTTTTTAAATCCTATAAATCACTTTGGGTCCACAAAAAATATCTTAGTTTACCCACTTAAGATACTCCCACTAAAAATGCTCTAAACACAAACAACCCAAAAATAGCCAGCACAAATTCAAGAGATTTTGCATAACAAATTTTCATATTGTTTATTTTAATTCATAATTTTTAAGTGAACACGTTTATTTTCTTTATTTACAAAAGAAGTAGTACTTGTTTCATAGGTATAATATTTAACAATCTTAATGTTAAATGATTATGTTTTGGTTAATATTCGATATTTTTATATAGTGTCAGGTGGATCAGTTTCCTCTCTTTAGTTCAACATAGATCATGACTGATTTACTAGGAAGATTATGAAGTTTGAGTTTGAGGTGGACCAGTGAAGCCATGACACCTAGGATTGTCGCAAAAGGTTTGTTGAGAATGCAGTTGTAGGCGTTCTTACAAGGGACTACAAAGAACCGCAAGTCCACGGTCCTGACGTCTTTTCGTTCCTTCACTGATATCATTAATTCAACATATCCTTACGGGCGGATGGTCGTGTTATTGAATGCTTCCAAGTCTGACTCTTCATATGGCCACATATTTTCTTTCTTAAGGCCTATCTTTTCAAACAACTCTGAATACATTATATCACAAGAGTTGCCACCATCGATGTGATACGCCAAAATGGTCGACTATGGTGGTTATGACTAGAGGGGAGATATCATTTGGGGTCCCCTGATTTGCTCTTTGGTGACTTTTCTTTATCTCTTTGACCACCTTTTGTAACATCCTTCTAAACCCCGCAGAATATATATATATATATATATATATATATATATATATATATATATATATATATATATATATATATATATATATATATATATATATATATATATATATATATATATATATATATATATATATATATATATAAATAATCAGATTAAATTATTATGCATCTCAAATAAGGGTGTCACATATAATTCAAAACATCACACATATACTTGTCATGCTCAATAACACTTAAAATTAATTCATGATTTTCATATACTTTCACATAGCATGTAGCAGCAGAATTACTTCAATCATAAATTAACATAATGAAAATCCTATGATCAACTCATTCATAATCATCACTTAGGCATAAAAGCTGATACTCCACATAATTCAAATAACAATAATAAAATAAAGTAGAGTACATAAAGTATCTCTGAAAACATGAATCGAAACATTCCCAGTGTTACATGATTAGAGCACGACTCAAACCAAAATAAATAGAGAAACTAAAACAAGCTACTCCAACGACTACCTCGCGCTTGAAGCAACTATACTCCTTGATACCTGAGCGACGTCGTACAAAACATCATTCCAACAAAAGGGTGAGAATTCACATAATTATCGAAATCATAAGAGAATATATAATTTATGGCATACAAACATAACATAGTTATTCTCACACTCCAAAAGCTTCATCAACATATTATCATTCAAGTGACTATACTATTCACAAGTACATACTCACAATTTCATAATTCGCCAATTCATTCATTTCACATATTTCGCATAATCTCATATTGCAAACATATACATGATGTGACTTAATGTAAGACTCTAATGCAACTCATGCATGTGGTACCAATCACTTGTTATTATTTTTCAGTTTTTACATAAAACCGGGTTCATTCCCTAGACCAATAACACATAAAAAGTTTATTACCACGGAACTAACAAGTTTGCCTCTTGACAACAAATGATGCATGTGCAAGTTCAACAACCATATGTAATTAAGATCATTCCTTAATCTTAACATTCATGCATATCTTCAATAATTCATCACACTTGAATTACCACACAATTACACATACTTGCACATTTTTATGAATCATCCATACACAATTCACTTTTAAATGGTATAAAACACATTTTACAATACAATCACAATTGTATTATCATTACAACAAGCAATAACTATCATGAATTTGATTTTGTCACACCCAAATATACTTATACAAGCACACACATAAGTCGATAAATCATCCACAAATAATTTCACAATCGGCAGCAAACAACACAACAATCTATTAATAGAACATATACACAATTTTTCCCAAACATATTATTTATAAAAATATTAAGCAACTAATTCTCTTATCTATACTATGATATAGATTTATTCATTAGCTTTTCGAAGCTTCGAACGGGAATCAAAACGGACTTACGGATCAAAAGTTACGTCCATTCTGCCATCACTCGCTACAGGTTCACTATTGCTCGCGTCACAACTTTTGCTATGCAAACTCTCCAGGACAGCAACCCAAAAAAGTGCGATTTTTGCAGTTTGGAGGCCTTTCGGACCTCCGAATTCGATTCTGTAAAAAGTTTCAGTTCCAGAATTCGAAATACTACCATGACAATTACAACAACCTACAACTAATATTTAAAGATCCTACCATCATACATCATGTAATCATCAATTTCAAAATCATAGAAATTATGGATTTTGATCATAAATATGATATTACCCATTATACACTATCATACAATCCCATAACCATGTAAAGACCCACCCTTAATTTGATTCCTTGGATTCTAGAGCTCTTGTTCTTGGGGTTTTCTCCTCCACTTCTCTCTTTGTCTCTTTTCCTCCTTTCTATCTTTCTAACCATATCCTTTCTTTCTCTTATTTTATTAAATCCCACATATTTTCTTTCTTAAGGCCTATATTTTTAAAAAACTCTGAATACATTATATCACAAGAGTTGCCACCATCGATAAGCATTTGTGATACTCCGAAATGGTCGACTAAGGGGGAGATATCATTTGGGGTCCCCTGATTTGCTCTTTGGTGACTTTTCTTTATCTCTTTGACCGCCTTTAGTATACTCGAAAAAGTGGTCCCTCTTTATCAAACCCTCACTATAGTCTTTCAGATGGATGGAGTCAATGGTGGTGTGAAAGCAAAAATATTTTGTCTTGTCAGTTCTGGAAGATTCTCTAACAAGGAAAGGATTTTTGATCTCGGCCTTCTAGAATTTAGTGTTTGCACATTCCTGGTATATTTTCTCTTGTAAAGTGTTCAGAAGGGTGTGTTTTTTGTATCGCCCACGGGTCTTACGGTCATATTCCTTCCTTTGACTGTTAGAATCTTTCCCGGATGACTGATTGGAACCTGTATATGTTGTTGCTTAGTTGTCATTCCGGGCAATAAGTGTGCCTGGTTATCAGTTCGGGCAATAAGTTTCTCCTTAAGGTTAATGAAGGGTTACATCTTATTTAGCAGTTCTATTAAACTATAGGCCTCACTGTGCTCTAATTTCTCCTTGAATAAGTTATTCTGCTTTAGAAAGTTCTCAAAGATCTAACACTTGTGAACCTCTTCAACTTCACCTACTTCCAATGCTACTAACGTGAAATAATCGATATATGACCACAAACTCTTTTTCTTACCATACATTATCCCATTGAGGCCAGTTATTGTAACTGGTTGCCTTTTCCCAGCTATGAAATAAGCGGTGAAGTTCTCGCACATGCTGGTCCATGAATCAACGCTCCCGTTCGGTAGAGCTTTAAACTAGAGTTTGGACGATCTTATCGGTGTTAGTGAAAATAGTTTACACTTTTTTGCCTCGTTGAGAAAGGATACAATCACTAAGGCATGGATGTTGTAGTATTTCAACTTGAGATGGATCAGTGATACCACTACGTATAAGATTTGCACAAAAGGTCTGTCCATTATACAATTGTAAACGCTTTTGCAAGGAATCACCAGAAATTGTGAGTTGAGCGTCCTTATGTCTCTTCTTTCTCTTAGAGTGACCATTAGTTTAACGTACCCCTAGGTACAAGTTAATGTGCCATTGAAGGCTTGTAGGTCAAATCCTTTAAAGGGACACAATTTTCTCCTTCTTCAACCCTAATTTCTCAAAGAGGTCCGAGTACATGATATTGCAGGAACTGTCGCCATTAATAAGGACTCAAGAAACATCAAAGTTGGCAATGGTAGCCATTATCACCAAAAGACTTATCTCATTTTAGATCCCTCTACCTTGTCACTAATTAGGAACTCGAGGACATATCTTTCTACTTCTCTGGTCAAAATTCACCCTTATTTGTATAAAACCATCAACTCGACGATTTTTCTCTTCATCTTCCATTTGTAGGGGTTCCTAGCTCATGGAAGATCACCAATAATGGATGCAATGTATCAACCGTTCCTTTTATGGTATTCATTTTCATTGTTGTTGTCATTACATTAGTTAGCTCAAATATCAGCTTCAACAGTCTTCTTAGGGGATTTTTCTTTGCAGGGGATGAGGTTTCTTCTTTGGTGAATCTTCCAGGCTCATAAACCTTTTATATTGTCTCAGCCTCCCTTCTGGCCACCATCTCTGATGTATTCACTAAGTCACTTGTCTTGATCACTGCCTTTATTCTATCTTTCAGTTTGATGGAATCATTTGTGTTATAACTATGACTCTTGTGGAAACAACAATATTTGAACTCATTGTTCACACATTTATTCAAAACATTCTCCCTTGAAGTGTTCATGGTAGTGAAAACATTGAAATTGGATCAGTGTATTTGATTTATTTCCTCTTTATAAGGGCCACCATCTCTTTTGGGTGCCCGATTATGCCCAAAGTTCCTTGCTCATTGACCTCTTCCCCATTCCCCCGCCAAAAGCTTTTTTCATAGTTGATACAAGGTTATGCCTTAATCAACAAATTGTTTAGGGTGTAGACTCTTTCGAGCCCCATCTTTTCTTGGAATGTGCAGTTTAACCTCAACCCCTTCTCAAACATCCAACACTTCAACCCGTCATTTGTGCCCCCACTACTACTACCACTTTAATGAAGCGGTTAATGTACTCACATAAACTTCCCTTCTTTCTCTAAAGTACTCCATTAAGGACAAGCATTATCGTGAGTTGCCACTCTCATGCGGTGAAAGCTCCACAAAGGTCTTTCCATAAATTGATGCTCCTATCTAGAAGGGTCTTGAACCACGTCATTGCAGCTTCGATCAAAGTTAGTGCAACGAGTTTGCACTTTACTCCTTTTTTGGCGTGGTAGTAGTCTAGTCGTCTATCTACATGCTCAATGTGCTTATCCGGATCACCGCTTCTATTACAACTTTGTAGCTTTAGAGGATTATCTAATGACCTCAGCATCATGCTATTAAGGAAGCGAGTAGACAAAGAGTTCCTTTTTCTCTTTAGAGATGAAGTGTCTTCGTCGTACATTTCCCTTCTTCGAGGATGGCGACCTTTAGGGGAATATGGCTATCACACCTCTCTTCAATATTGGGGGAGGAGTTATATGTCTTTGATGTCAACTGCGACCTAGAGACCTCAAAGTCTCTCTTAGCAATGTTGCTTCCCTAATGGAGGTCGGCTCAAGAACGATGTCTTTATTTCCTTGGGAGGTTGCCTCTCACACAATGTTATCCCTTGGTGTAACGTGTTTTAGGATCTTTTCAATCCTGAATAGTTGCTGTAGTAAGAATTTTGAATTTTGTTGTTGCACCATATTATAAACACTACTCAACAGATTAATGGCTCCTTATATTCCAAGTCTGGCTTATAACAGCTGAAGGTCAGGGAAGATTACTTGTACAAGTACCATAGGTAGTAGTAGAGGCGAGATGGCTCGCTTAGGTTAATTTGTTAAGTGGAAATGAATAACAAAAGAGCTTGGAGTGCTCATTGACTAACTCTCGGTGGAACAAGATTTTGTTGTGTAGGGTTAGAAGGAGATGCCATTAAAACTTAATATTCTTTTGCTTGGGGAGGAGGAAGAGGCGAAGCTCTAATAAATTTCGCAAATGTAGTAGCAACTTGACATTGAATGGAATATCGAGTGGTTATGAATGCCAACATGGTCGATGAATTTGAGGATGGATCTATTGGAAGAGGAAGTTGAAACTCATGAAAGAAAATCAAGAAGCAAAAATTTGAACCTTAGGAAAGAAGATATAAATCTCTGAACTATAGGAGATTTGAATGTGAGAATTCACGGGAATCAGATTTCGGTTCCTACAAATAGTGCAACTATTCTATTATGGAACCATAGTTGTTCGGTGAACGGTGAACTACAATATTAGTACAAAGTTAACACTTCAACATCTAAGTCAAACAAAAAATGAAAAGAGATGTGAGAGTGAGAATTGATTCGAATATCTGAGAATAACACACTTTATCTCTTATATAGTGGGAGCTATTAAAACTCTATATGATGAGTCGGCGTCTTGTGCATACAACCGTCTAATTGATAAGATTGGTTGGTAATGCTTTACTGGACAAAGTTGTCTCCTTTAAGCAAGAATGAGAAACACATCTTCCTTACGTTCGCTTTGTCTTTGGACTTCACTTTGGACCTTGTGATCGGTTGAGAACACAAATATTATTATTTTTAAATTTAACTATGTGGGTCGAACCAACCCAACTCTGGTCTATTTTTCCAACGAAGCAGAACATGACAAACCATTTAATAAAATCGAATTGAAAACTTCAACTCAACACGCTTAAAATAACGAGTTAATATAAATAAATAAATAATTTTTAAAAAAATGGTGTGTGTGTAAAAGACGAACGAGGGACTGAAAAGAAACCCCTGCAGTGCACCGGCGTAGAACCAAAAAACACAGAACGAGAGTCATGCTGTTAACCCTTTCACGCCATTTATGTACAAGCAGCAAGAACATCACAGCAACCTTAAAATTCTCTAAAACAAAATTCCCTTGTCGGTACAAGAAAGCTACTCTGTCTCAAGCTCAACAGTCACTCACTGATTACCTCCACGCCACAAGGTCCATCCCTTACGCCTTCGCTGATCAAATTTCCAAAAACTCCATTCATTCCCTCTCCAATCTCATTTCAATGTTGGGTTCTTTTTCATCTTCTGATTTCCCCAAAAAACTTGATAAGTTCTTAAGGTACCACCCAATTAATGAATTTGAGTTTTTCTTCGAAAGCATTGGAATTCAGTATACTCGAATTTCTCATTTGTTGCCTCACGATAAGTTCTTCTTTTCTGAAGATGGGTCACTTCTTGATTCTGCTTGTGTACTTTGTGAATTTGGGTTTCCTTGGGATAAGCTTGGGGTGCTTTATGTGGAGAGTGGTTTTGTGTTTAGGATGAGTGGTTCTGAGTTGAAGGGTAGGCTTTGTTGGTTTCAAAGATATGGTTTTTGTAATGTGCAAATTGTTGGGATTTGTTTGACTTTTCCTTATGTTTTTGGTGTGGAGGAAGGGAAATTGGTTGATGAGATTGATGGGTTGCTTTCTGAGTTGAAGTTGGTGTTTTTGGATTTTGATTTGGGAGGTTCTGTTGAAGGGAATGTGGATGTTTGGTTTGAGATTTGTAGGAAAATTAAAGTGTTTTATGATTTGAATGATGGAAAAGGGAAGATAGGTGAACTCATTGGAAGGAATAAACATGTCATTCTTAAACATAAAGAAGAGGATTTGATTGAAAAAGTTGAGTATTTTTGTAGATTTGGTGTTGAGAAAGAGGAAGTAGCTCGGTTGATTCTACAAGGTTCGGAGTTGTTGAATCTTGACTTAGAAAAGCCGGTGATTAACATGTTGAAGCTGTTGAAACATATTGGAATGAGCTCCAAAGGTGTTGGTGATGTAAGGAAGAACTATGCTCATGCGCTGGGAACAATAAAAATCGAGAATCTTCCCAATGTGATGAGGGCTATGGGTTTACAAGAATGGTTTTTCAATAAAATCAAGGATGGGAATCATATGCTTTTGGTGAATTTTATCGAAAGCTATCCCAATGAAGAGCATGATAAAGCTTATCAGGGTTGTTTGAAGACAATTCATAATGCAAGAACACCGATTCACAATATGAGTAAATTAAATTTCATGCATAATAATGGGTTTGGTGAAAATGCGACGACCATGGATATCTTAACTCACATGCATGGAACAAGTGTAGAGTTACAAAAAAGATTTGATTATCTTCTACATTTAGGGATTGATTTCTCAAAGCTGTGTAAGATAATCACAAAGCAACCAAAGGTTCTAAGCCAAAATCCCGAAACCCTAGAGAAAAAGATTAATTTTTTGCGTCACGAGATGGGAAAGTCGTTAGAGCTTTTGGACACTTTTCCAGCATTTATGTGTTTTGATTTAGAGAACCGAATTAAGCCGAGGTTCAGATTCCATATGTGGGTTTTGGAAAAGGGATTGTCTTCCAAAAACTATTCCATTGCAAGCATGATTGCGACTAGTGACAAGAATTTTGTTGGCCGTGTTTTTAAAATTCACCCGGCCGCTCCAAAACATTGGTTTGAGCAATTCTATCCCAAGAAATTTTGAGCTATCAAGATGATCACATTACTGTTCGTTGCATATGAATTCCACCATTTTTCCAATTCAATTTGTACAAATCTCAAACTTGGTTACTTACTTCCCAACATTTGGGGTTGAACACTAACCTATTTGATATTCTTGAAACACTAATCTCTTAGAGGTATCTTTGCTTTGTGATGAAAGTGAGACATTTAGCTAAAAATATTTATCTTGCTTTACTTCATTTAGCCATATTTTCTTTCGTTTTTTCAACAGTATTATTCTAAAGATCTGCAGAATCAATGCACTCACTGCCAATTGCAGTGCTCCTACAACCCTTCAAGTTGAATCGTTGAGGTAGAAGATGATCCATTGTTTTTGATCAATTACTATTGCAGCTTCATGTGCAGTGCAAAATTGTGAGGTACATGTACATTTCTAAGCTTCTTTTGTTTAGGGTGTGCTTATGTGTTTGTAGATGGATGGAAATTGTTTTGGAAACTCCATATTTGCTGAAATTTGAAATAAAAAGTTGAATGTAGTTTAGGAATTGAGACCTGTCTTTAGATTTCAACAGAGTGCATGTTCTTAATTTTCTGGGGATTAGGAAGAAAAAGCTAATATTTGTGAAACAATTGTCAGTGGAATCTCAAAGATTTTGAAGTTGTTAGTTTCGTATAAACTTATAGAATCACGAGTTTGAGGTTGACTGAATAAATATAACATAACGATCATTTTCTCGAGGCATGCCTATCATGACAGTGGTTTTCAGTAACTCAATGCAATAGCCCAACGATAAGGTTTCTTAAATGTGAAACATTAATCTTATTTTTGTAACAATCAACTTCACAGATGCGTCTAATATCTCAAATGAACCCTGTAATTAGATTTGACTTTGAAGTCAATTTTTGAACAAAGACCAAAAAATAAATGCTTATAAGAGGGTCTAGCTTTGTTCCTCCCTCTGTTTTGGACCATCCTTAAAATATAATGTAAAATATCTAGGTTTGATTCTTTGTTGGCTAAAGCTGGTTTTTTTGAATTGCATAGAGAAACTACTTTTCACTTGAGTTTACGCAGCTTATAAAACAATAAAGAAGCCTTGCACAGTTGCTTACATGTTTGGAAAGTTTTTTGAAGTCTTAAGATCGATATAATGTATGAATAATTGATTTTTAATTATGCATAAATTCAATTGCCTGATTTGAATTGTATAAAGTAAACCCTGTTTGATTTACTTTTCATCTCATGAGCCACCTTGATGAGTTCTTTGAGATCCTAAGTGCATCAAGTTGTACTGTGTCACTATTGATTGTTATCGTGGTTTTTCTGTAGGGGGTATCTCAATTATCGCGGGTCGTTAATGCACTCACACATCCATTTAGCATATGGCCACAGAAAGGTATCTCAATATATTCACCGAAACTTCATCTCTTTATTCACTCTTCTTAACCCAAAATATTTCTCTGCCTTGATCAGCCACCAATAAACCTTCCTTCCATCAAATCTTGGAATTAAATCTGCTGCCATTTTCCTGCCAATAGACCTTCCTTCCATCAAATCTTGGAATTAAATCTGCTGCCATTTTCCTGCCAAAATTTACGATCTTCTTTGCTCAGAATTGTTCTGATACCAGTTATAGAAACCAACTGATATAGACTAGAAAATAGGAAAAATCCCTTGAATTACATATAGTATTGCAGACCCTCGAGGGTTTGCACCTTCCCTAATATCAAAATGGTCATTTTCCTGTCAAATTCCACAAACTCTCCCATATCTTCCCCTATTTATTCTAAACATAAACCTTATATTCAATCAAACATAACTACTCTTAGTAATATAACAACCTCATCCTAACGATAATATAACAACCTCATCCTAACGACCCGCGATAATTGAGATACCTCACCCTACCCAACACAAAGGCTTATCAAACATCTTAATGTATACCAGGATGATATGGGATCCTAAGTTAATGCACTCACACATCCATTTAGCATATAGCCACAGAAAGGTATTTCATGAAACACATTTCTTTAGTATATGGCCACAGTAAAATTCAAATAAAATACTAGAAATCATTCAACCAAAATAACATAGTCTTCAACAAATCCAATCCAACATGTTCATGTATGTCAACCAAAATAACATAGTCTTCAACAAATCCAATCCAACATGTTCATGTATGTACATAAGTTTGAACTTGAATGTTGTTTCACATCCAAGGAGCACAAGTTAACCATACATACTATGCATGCATAATAAAGTTATTATATATGCATCCTAATGTCTAGCTGCATTGAATATTGATAAAAAAATCTTAACAAAAAATACTAACAAAAAAACAGAAGTAAATAATTAAATAACTAAATCATTGGAAGTTCATAGGAGGATCCAGTTATAATTCAACTATAAAAAAACAGCCTTCAATTCGTGTTGCAGCCTTCAATTCGTGTTCGAAAAAGTCAACTTGAGGAACTATAAAAAAACAGCCTTCAATTCGTGTTCGAAACAAGTCAACTTGAGGAATTGATCACCAGAAACCCTGGGATAAGTGAGAACGATTATTTTCAGCAGAGGGAAACAATTTATTAGGAATAAAATGTCATTCTTCTTGATTTCACCCATTCTTCGATTAAAGGGATTAAAGGGAGAGAGAGGAGTAAATGAGAACGAGCTCAAGTTTTTCATCGTTTTGGACAAAGCTAGTAATCCATTTGCAGCGATGCTGTTACATGATAATGCACGTAGATCGAAGGAGAAGGTGGAGATTTGTGTAAGAATGGCGCCGAGGTCGCGCGAAGGGGACAAGCGGGTGAGGTCGAGGGATGTGAGGTTAGGGAAACGGTGGAAGAGTCGAGGAAGGTAAGGGATGGTTTTGTCGGTGATTGTGGCAGAGAATCGGAGACGGTTGGTGACAGAGAGAAAGTGTTTGGAGGCTACGGAGAGAGATTTGAAAGTAAAGAGGTCCCAGTTGAAAGATTCAAAGATGCACTCCCATAATTCATCAGGTAAGCATGTCAGTGTTGCCGTAGGGTTTTTTGCTGCTGCTATTTTTATTCTCTTTGGTGCATTGGATTTTCTTGATGATAATGCCACCATTGTTACCGTGCAAAGTGAATATTCTTCTGTGTATGGGCACTGATGGAGTAGATAATTAGGGTTTTCCTATTTTAAATCTTATTTTCCGCCCATTGCTATTCATTTAAACATTATGGTTTGTGGGCTTTTTTTGGAAAAGGAAATTGATGATTTCATTTATATAATTCGGTATTTTTTTTTATCATATTCAGAAAATTTTACTTTATACGTACTTCTATTTTTATTCTTATACCTCTATATTTTATAAAAAAATATTATTTTTGTTTTTTTATATTAATTTTGTTTTTTAAAATATTTTTTAAATTTTATTTTGCGTTCCAAAAACTTTACAAAAGAGTTTCGGTAGTTATTTGGAACGCAAAATAAAATTTAAAAAATATTTTAAAAAACAAAATTAATATAAAAAAACAAAAATAATATTTTTTTATAAAATATAGAGGTATAAGAATAAAAATAGAAGTACGTATAAAGTAAAATTTTCTGAATATGATAAAAAAAAATACCGAATTATATAAATGAAATCATCAATTTCCTTTTCCAAAAAAAGCCCACAAACCATAATGTTTAAATGAATAGCAATGGGCGGAAAATAAGATTTAAAATAGGAAAACCCTAATTATCTACTCCATCAGTGCCCATACACAGAAGAATATTCACTTTGCACGGTAACAATGGTGGCATTATCATCAAGAAAATCCAATGCACCAAAGAGAATGGTGGCATTATCATCAAGAAAATCCAATGCACCAAAGAGAATAAAAATAGCAGCAGCAAAAAACCCTACGGCAACACTGACATGCTTATCTGATGAATTATGGGAGTGCATCTTTGAATCTTTCAACTGGGACCTCTTTACTTTCAAATCTCTCTCCGTAGCCTCCAAACACTTTCTCTCTGTCACCAACCGTCTCCGATTCTCTGCCACAATCACCGACAAAACCATCCCTTACCTTCCTCGACTCTTCCACCGCTTCCCTAACCTCACATCCCTCGACCTCACCCGCTTGTCCCCTTCGCGCGACCTCGGCGCCATTCTTACACAAATCTCCACCTTCTCCTTCGATCTACGTGCATGTAACAGCATTATCATGTAACAGCATCGCTGCAAATGGATTACTAGCTTTGTCCAAAACGATGAAAAACTTGAGCTCGTTCTCATTTACTCCTCTCTCTCCCTTTAATCCCTTTAATCGAAGAATGGGTGAAATCAAAGAAGAATGACATTTTATTCATAATAAATTGTTTCCCTCTACTGAAAATAATCGTTCTCACTTATCCCAGGGTTTTGGTGATTACTTGTTTCGAACACGAATTGAAGGCTGTTTTTTTATAGTTCCTCAAGTTGACTTTTTCGAACACGAATTGAAGGCTGCAACACGAATTGAAGGCTGTTTTGAATTATAACTGGATCCTCCTATGAACTTCCAATGATTTAGTTATTTAATTATTTACTTCTGTTTTTTTTGTTAAGATTTTTTTATCAATATTCAATGCAGCTAGACATTAGGATGCATATATAATAACTTTTTTTGTTAAGATTTTTTTATCAATATTCAATGCAGCTAGACATTAGGATGCATATATAATAACTTTATTATGCATGCATAGTATGTATGGTTAACTTGTGCTCCTTGGATGTGAAACAACATTCAAGTTCAAACTTATGTACATACATGAACATGTTGGATTGGATTTGTTGAAGACTATGTTATTTTGGTTGAATGATTTCTAGTATTTTATTTGAATTTTACTGTGTGGCCATATACTAAAGAAATGTGTTTCATGAAATACCTTTCTGTGGCCATATGCTAAATGGATGTGTGAGTGCATTAACTTAGGATCCCATATCATCCTGGTATACATTAAATCTGATGTTTGATAAGCCTTTGTGTTGGGTAGGGTGAGGTATCTCAATTATCGCGGGTCGTTAGGATGAGATTGTTATATTACTAAGAGTAGTTATGTTTGATTGAATATAAGGTTTATGTTTAGAATAAATAGGGGAAGATATGGGAGAGTTTACCATCGTGGAATTTGACAGGAAAATGACCATTTTGATATTAGGGAAGGTGCAAACCCTCGAGGGTCTGCAATACTATATGTAATTCAAGGGATTTTTCCTATTTTCTAGTCTATATCAGTTGGTTTCTATAACTGGTATCAGAACAATTCTGAGCAGATTGTAAATTTTGGCAGGAAAATGGCAGCAGATTTGATGGAAGGAAGGTCTATTGGTGGCTGATCAAGGCAGAGAAATATTTTGGGTTAAGAAGAGTGAATAAAGAGATAAGTTTCGTGGGTTGTTGCATTTGCATCGAGAGGAAATGCTCTTGATTGGTGGATTTCTTGGAAGGAGATCCATCCAAATACTTGTTGGTGGGATTTTCAAAGGCCATTCTCAAGAAATTTCAACCAGAAGTTTGGGATTGTCACGTGGATTCAAAAAGGAAGAACAGAAAAAACAGAGGCAGCGCCGAAGAGAAAAATAAATAGTTGCATCTCGAAATGAAACAAAAATCATAAGTGAAGATGAAATGGCATAAATGAGTGAACACAATGAAAAAAAACAGAGATCTAAATATAGAACCAGAAAAAGGAAACCAAGAAATGCGAAACAGAGTACCAAATGCAATGTGTGAAGACGAATGTAAGTATAGCAAGAGAACGATCATGATGAAGGAAAATCTTGAAGAAAAACAGAAGATTATGGTGTTGAATCCAGCAAAAGAAACAAGATATGAGATGGTAGATAATTGTAGCTTAGAAGTCCAAGTTGCATGCATGTTCGGCGATCCATTGACATCACCATTGCCATTGCACTGTAGAAAGTCGGCAACAAAGAAAATTAGAGAATTGGAATTCAGAACACAGAATGAGCGGCCACCCGAGAACGGTTAGACCAACAGTCGCTATTGGTGAAACACGTCGGGGTGGTTGCTGCTATTCCTAGTTTGTGAGTATCCTGAAGCATAGACATCCTTTGGTATAATATTTAAATATTCTGTAACTGTTTCTGTTTGTACTTTGCAGGAGCTGAAGGGAAATAGTGTGAATGCTTCATTCATGTGCCTCACTATCGTATATGAGAAACAGCTTGTATTGTATCAGCTCAGCTGCATTTCAGATTATCTTACCATTATTTTGTTCACAACAAAAAAATGAGCTTTATTAGGCAGCAAAACCATTATTTTGTATATTAATCACAACGATGTAATATAGCAGCCATCGATTAATTACAATTGCTCTTATTTTATTATCATTCATATTATCAATTTAAATGCCCTGTTTTAGGTTTGAGGCTCGAACTCGAGTAATAATATTCAACCTAACAATATCTACTTTTATCAGTTCTACTCGGGATAATAATAATAATAATAATAATACAATTATAAAACAATGCTAATAATCTATATGTTTGTGACGATGAATAAAATATCTAGGATTGACAGTAAGTTATCTTGAAATCTGTCTTATTTTTGTCTATTGGTTAACTGATTGGATCACGAGTCAATTCATTCAGCTTTTCAAAAATGAATGAATAAAATTAATTGAATAATCTATATGTCCACGTGTCATCCTATTAAAAATCCACGGTGGAAACAAAATCAAGCAACGTAATATTACAAACACTATGATTGGTTGAGACAACATTCAAAGTTATCCAACATGGTAGATAAGGTAATGACTCACGATCACACACACCACAATCATCATATCCATAAACCCTTCTTTATTACTATTGTTACCAATATCATCATAACATTCAAGTTCAAGAAAGAAAGAAAGAAACTATTATGGCTCAAGCTATGGCATCATCAATGGCTGGTTGCTTACGTGGTTGTTCATCTCAAACTGTGTTAGAAGGAAGCCTTCAATTGAGTGGACCAAACAGGTTGAGTTTGTTGCATGGAAACACCAACAGCGTTAACAAGGTTTCAACACGTTCATCAGTGACGGTTAGAGCTCAGCAACAGGAAAGTAGTCGAAGGGCTGTGATTGGTCTTGTTGCTACTGGTTTGGTTTCTTCTTCTTTTGTTCAAGCTGTTTTTGCTGAGGCTATTCCTATTAAAGTTGGTGGCCCTCCTCCACTTTCTGGTGGCCTTCGTAAGTTTTCTTTCATCCTTCAATTTTGTCATTGAATTATTGTAGTAAGGTTTCATGTTTTACCACCAAATAACTTTTAGGTTGATGAATTGTTTATGAAGCACAAACATCTCTAGAATGTTGTGTGTCGTAGTATCTGACACAGATATTCAGGTCACATATATAAACATATGTTCAGTCCGCATATTGTCCGATATATGAATCATTATAGTTGGATAACTAAGGTTAGTATCTCATGAATTTTTTTTAACTTTGCTTTGACAGACACTCTTTAGATCGGTATCCGACACTCATACTATAAGTGTCGGACAATTTGAACCTATGAAGCACATATACGAACACCTGACACGACACTAACAATGACAAGTTGACACTAATAAAACTTGATTAAATGAATTATTTAAACGTAGTCAAAAGTGTCGATGTCGTCTCTCAGTGTCGGATACTAACACTTGTCGGTCATCAGACATGTGTTTCATCCAAAGTGTCCGTGCTATGAAGATTTGAACAAGTGTGTCAATTTTTTTTCTTCGACACCATAGATACAATACTAATCAATGAGCAGGGAAAGTCATGAAATTTGGTTACAACAATTTTAACTTTTTGATAATAGATAGATGAATAACTTGCGTCAATGTCATGTTTTTATTGCATAGTGTCAAAGTGTTTGTGTCGTATTTCGTGTCAGGTGTCTATCGAATTCTGTTTTTTCATATGAATGAACTGACTTGTGAAATTTGGATTTCTGTTTTTCATATGAATGAACTGATTTGTGGAATTTGGCAGCTGGAACATTGAACTCTGATGAAGCAAGAGACCTAAAGCTACCATTGAAAGAAAGGTTCTTTATTCAACCATTGCCACCTACTGAAGCAGCAGCAAGAACTAAGGAATCAGCAAAGGAAATTGTTGCTGCTAAGAAGTTCATTGACCAGAAAGCCTGGCCATTTCTTCAGAACGATCTCCGTCTCAGGGCTGGCTACCTTCGATATGACCTTAAAACTATCATCTCTTCCAAGCCTAAGGACCAGAAACAATCCCTCAAAGAACTCACTGATAAGCTCTTACTGGATATCAGCAATGTAAGTTCACAATATCACATAATCAAAGTTATAAATTATAGCCATTTCAATGGCCACGTTGTCAGCAATCCACGAATTCATGCAGTCAGTACATTAATGGCCGTTTGATTAAGTTTGTACAATCTAACGACCACATATGTACCGACTACATGTGTGAGATTGCTGACTACAGCCAATACTGTCTCAATTGCGGTCGCATAAAGATTGGACTAATTGAAAATTTGATTTTTTGTGTGTTGGCAGTTGGATCATGCAGCAAAAATTAAGAGTCCCTCAGAAGCAGAGAAGTACTATGCAATAGCTGTATCTACTCTGAATGATGTTCTTAGCAAAATTGCTTAATGTGAATGATTTCTTGCTTTCTTGTGTAAGCTTTGTCTATGGTTTTTTTTAAAGACATTTTATGTTTAACTACTATTTGGAGAAAATCAAATGAGAAAAATTGCTATAAGCAAGCAGGAAATTATCATTTGTTGATGTATTTCTTAATTGAAGTTGTTTTCTTAGTTTTAAGGGCTAAATATTTAACCATTTACTCAATCAATAAAAAAGAAAGAGATGTGTTTAATTTGTAAAAAGAAAAAATATCTTTACATGCAGTTTATGTTACTTAAATATTATTTTTATAAAATAAAATAATTTTAATTTTAATTTTAATTTAATTAGTATAATTTTAGCTGATTAATTAAAATAATTACTTAAATTAATTTATCTATATATCAATTTTATATTATTAAATTATAATTTTAATATAAGTAAATTTTAGTTAAATATTTAAGATTGAGATTATTATATTAATTTAATTTATATTGTAGTGTTGTACATTATATACTACTAGTCCCTCACTCGACATTTAATAAAGTAATTCAAATAAAACTCCATGAATAAAGTGTCATTTTACCATCGAATAAAAACATCAACGTAGTCATTAAAACTCAGCAGCGGAAAATCATTAAATTTGACATATAAGTCTCAACATCAAATAAATAACCAAATTCAATCATAGCAAGACATAAAACAAATAAAGAATGAACAATTCATTTCCGGTGTTACATATTAGATTGATTCATGTAAGATTTAATGATAAATAGCTAAAGAGGCATCAACACGTCCTCTAACTCAAACATCCACTCTTATACCGAATTGTCTGTACTCTAGAGGAGTACATACGCCACAACAACAAAAAAAGGTGAGAATACGCTCAAATAATATAACAGTGCAATACATAAAAATGATATATCACAAACATTTTCATTATCAAATTACAACAACACCACATATTCATCAATCACCAATGCATCAAGAATCATCTATTCATCATCAAATTAAACATAATTCACAAATATTACGCATCACATCATTAATATCGATTCATTCATGATACATGTATATATGCAATATGACGTCACCTCAACTCTACATGCAAATCCAGTACCAACTCATTGGACATCAAATCACTACCAATGGACTAGAGTGCATCAAATCACTACTAATTCCACCACTGAATCATTAATGCTCACCATTCCCATTATACGGAAGTCGACTGCTCACTCTTGATCCACTATTGGGCTAGAGTATGTTAAAATCGTTACTAATTCCACCACTGAATCAAAATCGCTTCACTGATCCCACCATAAGCATTAACTACTCGCTTTCGATCCCACCACTGGATCGAAGTCCGTACAACATGATGCATGACATATGCACCTATATGCCAAATAATACCATCAGCACAACATACATGATTATGCTCAATTATGAGTCACCATTGAATAATTTATACGTGCATGACAACCACAACATTCATTAATATTTCACAACATCAATTCATCATCGCATAACATCATTTATGCATAACATTATAAGCACAACAACACACATAATAGTATCTTCACAAGTAAAATACATCATTCATATTTTCATGTACATGTTTACTCTTTAAACAATTATTATAATATAGGGTTACACGTCAACTATCCAACGCTTTGAACCACGCCTCTAACGGAGTCACGAAACTCAAGTTATGCTTAAAAATGACTCAATTGCTACAAGAATCCAGGGAGTTGCTACGACCACCCATAGCACTCCCCAGTCACTCCCCCTTTTGGGCACACCTCTAGTACAAAGACCATAGGGCTGCTACGGGTGCCCGTAGCAGTGCCCAGTAAGCCCTAAAATTATTTTGCAATTTTGTGCAATCGCTCTTGTTTTTCAATCCCAAACCTTGATTTTGAACTTCCGATAGTCTCAAAACATACCATACACCATTGTACACGAAATATATAAAATTTATCATCTTTTAACATCCATATCAGCAATACCTCATTAATTGGCCATGATCATAGTACTAAATCACAATTATCATAACACATAAATTAAGTTTCATATAATTCTTCCTCAAACACATCAAGCATTCAACAATGGTGAAACAGAGAAGAAACCTAGATAGGGTTAAAGAGTCTTCACTATCCTTTCATAAAGTTAACACTCTTAACTGAGTAATTCTCCCCTCTTACCTCAGATTTTCTATAAAAAAAATTAAAACCTTAGTCATGGCTTCTCCTTCGTAGAGCTTTCTTTAGGGTCTTTTTTGCCTCTTTCCCCCCTTTTCCAACTTGTCATGTATCTGACCAAAAACTCTCCACCCTCTTAACCTTTTTCTATTTAAATGACCTAACACTAATTTGTTTAATTCACACTTCTCCCTTAACTTTTCCTTATTCTACTATTTCATTCTAATTTTCTCATTAATTCAATTTTCACCTTTAAGTTGGAAGACTTTCTTCTTTTTGTTGTTTGAGTTTTCATATTTATTGTTTTCATTTCTTTGATTGGTAGAGCTTTCTCCCTTTTTCCTTAACAATTAGGTTAATAAGTTTTCCAACATCGCCTTGGGGATATGAGTGTATAGGTTAATTCTAGGATTTTTAATGCGGTTGCTGCTAAATTTTCTTTCAGAATTCTGAATGATTTTCCTTCAGATTGGTTGGTTTTGATATAAGGGCATAAAAGATTCACTTCTGTGATACCATGCTCATGATTTAACAGGATTTTGCAATGTTCTTTATTGTGGCCTAAGATGCTGCATTTGAAGAAAAACAAAGGGAGTTTTTTTCCAGAGAGAAAATCTATCAAATTCACCCCACTAGCCAGACTTCTAATGTACATACAAGGCTTAATGGGTTTATCAATCTTGATTTTGATTTTGACTTTGATTATGGTTGTTCTGTCTTCCATATCATAAGAGCTTGCTTCTATGATATCTTCAAGTTTTGCACCAAGTTTGGATCCGTTTGAGGGGTCTTTCCATTTGTGGGAATGCCCCAAACCTAAACCCAGATAGGAGTGCTACTAAAATCCATAGAATTCATGGGTTGAAAACCATCCCATTCGTGGAGGATAAGTCAAGAATTCTTGAAAATCCAATAACTTCCTTTCATAATTCTTTTTCGGTTTTCAAGTTTATCCATTGCAATCTTGTAGACATTCAGCTCAAGTTTTTGCACCATGCGATTAAAAGGGTTGCACCAGATATTAGTTACGGTCGATTGAGTAGAAGTTATGTGGATCAATTATTCCATTATTATCTTGCCTAGAATGCAAGGAAACCCTAAATCTTGAGTTTCTAGCAAATATTTCTCTTCAAAAACGTAGAAATCGGGATTTAAAGTGTTTTCCAATTCATCTTCTTCTGTAGATTGTTTCTAATTCAAACAATTATGAGTTTTTTCTTGTTCAATATGGGAGGCACAAAGATTTTTCCTATCACTTTTTGGTTTTGAGATATTTTTTGAATTCTGATTTTTTTAATCGGTGATCTCAGGTTGACGGAACTAGAGATCCGTCTGAAGATCCAAATCTTGAATGATTGTGGAATTCAAGTGACTAGGGTCAGTACTAGTGCTAATGTGCTCAACTTTGAAAGTGAGAATGTGATACATTTTTCTAGGGTTTACTTCTTGAAAATTTGACTGATTTTCCATTAGAGAAAGAGGATAAACAACATAAGAAACACATTGAAAAGGGAGAATAAAATCAGAGAAAAAAAGGAAAAACAAAGCACATAACATAAAAGCTACCATATAGAAAAGAAAACACTTATGAAGAAGAATTTGGAAGTGAAAGACAAAACACCTATTTGAGGAAGGCAACACACAAGATGGATGAGGTAATAAAGATTAAGATGAAAAAAAGAAAAGAAAAACTAAAAGAAAGTAGATAAAAAAAGATTAATCTTGATGAAATTTTGAAGAGGATCTTGGAAGCAATTCATTTTCTCTAGAGTATCTCTTCTTAAATTTAAATAATATCTTATATACATCTTATAATAAAAGAAAATGTAAATACCATAACCACATCTTATCTTTCACATTTACATAAAAAAATATTTGTCCAAATTATTTTAGTTTATAATATAATTGTATTTTCTTTTCTATTATTGTAAACTATGAATATCATCTACTTTTTTTAAAAGATATTATATATATATATATATATATATATATATATATATATATATATATATATATATATATATATATATATATATATATATATATATATATATATATATATATATATATATATATATATATATATATATATTTGTTGTAAAAGTGAAGATCATGCAAGTTTTTTTTTTAATAAAGAAAACTTTATTAAACCCCAAGAAAAAAAGAATAAATACAAAGTTAGAAAGGACCAAACAACAAATCAAGACAAAGAGATAACTAAAAAGAGAACTAATCCTACATGAAATAGCTAAATATTTCCTAATCCTAGGATTATAGCAAGCCTCTATAAATAATAATATTAGTCACTATATCCCTAATATCTATATTTACATTGTTGTAAAGCTAGAGCTATTTCTATGCTTCCAAACTTCGCAACACTGCGAGTTGCTTTCCACCATTTTTTTAAAGAGTAATTTTTTTTTACCAACTTCATATCAATTAAAATAAAATAAAATACTTTAATAATAATAATAATAGTAATAATAATCAAAATATTGAAATAATATAAATATATTAATCACTTTCCAGAATCCTCTAACTGTTGTAATTCACATTAGATTCATTTGAAGATTATTATTATTTTAAAATAATCTAAAATACGTTTTTGTAATTGATTCAAACATGCTAGATTAATTATTCTCATAATGTTTTTCTAGTTTTGTTCATTGTATATTTTAACTCTTTTATTTTATTTTATTTGCACTTCAATGTCAATTCTATCTTTATTTTCAGTCAATTAAAATACAAATTGAATACGATATTTAATTAATAAAATTTGATTTAAGTAATTTATTTTGACTAAATTTTGTAATCTTGAAATAAGTATTA